AGACAGAACTAACAAAATCTTAATAAAAATTACTATTACAAAATAAAAATGTTTATAAAAAATCAAAAAAAAAAAAAAAATTATTATTTGGAATAAATGATATAAGGTATGATGTAATGAACTAAAAGTATTGATGAAATGGAAAAAAGTGATGATGATGATGATGATTTGCTGAATGAGGGGAGAAATAATTTATATGTCGAATTTTAATGAAGAAAATCAGGATGGAGAAGACATTGAAGAGACATCTCCTATTTCAAGTCAAGATGCTTTATTGGCTATTGAAAGAGTAAACTTGTTTGTTGAACAACAGTTTAAGGAATTTACAAATGAGGAATTGAAACTGTTAAAAAATGTCAACAAGAAAATTAAAAAAATAGAATTCAATTCAACAAAACAATCTTTACTGTTTTAAATATTCAAATAAAACTTTTTTATTCCACATGACTTAATGTAGTACAATTTTTTATACCAGATTCTCTCTATAACGGACAAATTTCCTGGTCCCAATGATCCGTTATAGACAGTGTGGACTGTATATATTTAATATATCGGAATTCGATGAATCTATGGATACATGCATATAAAATTCCTTATACCAATCCCATCTCGACAAATTTTTTATTAATACAGTATAATCCTTGTTTCAACGGAATGGCTAGACATATAAGAAAATTTCATTTAAAATCCGTTGAAACGAAATTACTAATTGTGATTATAATCGTGTTTCAACGGTTTTCATAACATTAATTGTTGCTTTATTGATCATCCATCATGTTTATTTCATATGGACACTCATATACATACATAGTTCACTCTCTATGACATGTCACACGACTATAAAAATCTAATCCATACGGTAAAGTTTATTTTCCCGTAAAAAAAGTTATTTTATATATATAATAGCAGTTGACCTTGCAGAGATTGCCAATAATTGCAGAAGTTGCAAACTTGTAGCATTTGCAGCAGTTACAACGTTAAGGTTTACAGGATTTAGTACCTGCTAATTTAAAATGGAAGAAAAACATATGCTTTTTCAATCCAATTCGACCATAAACCTGATTATTATGATGGCCAATCAGACAAAGTCTTTACAATTTATAATTGGTTATAATTAATTATAAATAAATTTTAACTAATTATTAATAAGTATCCGACCACCCAAATTGTATAACATAAAATGAAAGGAGTCCTTACTAAAAAAGTAACGTTTTCTTAAATAAAACCGTTTTTACTTTACTAAGTAGACTTGTACTTGATATCAAAATCTCTAAATTACAAAAGCTTCGAAAGGTT